AACGTTTGAGACAGTCTGATACTCCTGCATTCGGACAAGAAAGCATGGGCAGTAATCGAAATTGCTTGACAAAATGTATGTAAATTGATTGTAAAGCCATTTGACATTGCAATTATGATCTTAAGCTTAAAGCCATTTTGATTTTCACCATCTGCTGCCGTAGGCAATGTGCCGTTTTATACTGGAAAGGTTAATCACCTCCTTGCTTTTTTATATCTGGTCAAGAGGCTCTTAAGCAAGCCGAAGTTCTGTGGTATTTTCAATCCCTAAGCTGTGTGGATCCACAGTGGCATCACGAAGTGGGCTCATACAACCCAGTGATATTTTGTACTTCAAACAACATTATTTTTTCATGAAGCCAATCTATACGCTTTTTAATTCTTAGGCATTATAATATTATCTCATGTGTCAACACAATAACGGTTAGTTTGCACCAGGACTGCCGTAAGGAACGACTTCCGTTAACAGCTTTGGCCGTCCAATTACTGTGAAAATTTGCTGGAGTCCTGATGGGGTATTTACATCGTTTTCCTCCTTAGTTCTGAAAGACTTATGACACTGTTCCAAGCATTAGTGGGTGTGTAAATTGCGAAAATTTGAATATAATGTAATAGTATGGAATCTTACACTGTCGACGTGTGTTTTACTCTATTTTTTCTGGTAGTTTCTTTTCATTCTGTCTGTGGTAAAGCTTGTGCATGTTCGGTCATTCGAAAACATACAGACTCGTACGAACCGCACGAAACTGTATAATAGCGACATTTTTCTAAGTTTATGTTCAAGGAGTTAGCTTACAGTGGAATATATCTATGACAGTTACAAAGTTTTCTGTTCTTGGTCTTGACGACTGGATGTACAGAGTTTTATAGTATTATTGCGTCTAATTTGTCTTATGTTCACATTTCAGATTGAGTGAAATGTTTTTTCCAAACTTCCTGATACTGTTCAGACATAGTTACAATGTCTTCTAGGCCTAACACTCAACTTAGTCAGCTTACCAGTCAGTGAGTCAGTGAAATTTATTTAAGTAAACTCCAAGGCACACGATAAGTTACAAAATTTGGATATAAAAGATGAACAAATACTAAACAATAAAACAAGCAGTGAGAAAGCGTAGCGGCTGATCCTCTGTAAGCTTCAGTCTGGCACCTTTAAAGGACGTACACAAATTTTTCTGCTTGGCCGCTTCGAAAGGAAGTGATGGAGACTGTTACGGCGGACGAGTTGGGTCGGTTAGAGACAGACAACTGTTTTTTTTATCAAGCGTCTGCTTAACATGCAGATGAACTTATCAGCACCATAGTTACACAACTGACGAAGTAGTTTCAGAGGGCGGCTCTATCAAGCACCATCATATATTTAGAAGAAATATTACGCTTTGCTTGCTTTGGGGTTTAATGAATATGTTCGATCCCATCTCCTCTATTGCTTCATTAATTGAATAGTCGCACCAATATTTCTGTTTTTTTTCAGGAACAGACGGGAGGCGAAACCCGATAGTCAGAGTACGATGGAGACTCACGATGAAACCACAGAAACAATAAACTCAAGTGTAAGTAAAAGTTTTTTTTGTTTATGGCTGGCAAGTACTTGATGCCGACAGCAGAATTCGATTCTTGCTATACAGCTGAACGTCACAGCCATACGGGGTAACAAGCTTCCATCCCCAGGACTGCTTATTATGACCA